AGATTTTTGACTGAGTAACTTTTACTTGTAGTGGAGTAGATTTGACCATGAGTATCAATACTTTTACTCAAGTACTAGAGTTGAGTACTTTGTCCACCACTGGTAAAGCAAGATATGAAGCCAATGATGTCAACAAAAAGTTCAGTTCTGTGGCTACAATTTTAGTTTGTCATCATCAATGTGTGAATGTGTGTGTGCATGGGTGAATGTCTGCAGTGTAAAGTGATTTGAGTGTCCTGGACGGATAGAAAGGCGCTATATAAGTACAGTCCATTTACCATTTACCATTAAGTCTGTATTTTAATGTCTAAAATTTAAATAAAATGTTATACATATTATACAAATCAAGTTTTACTTTGTCAAGATAAGCTTAATGTTATACTGGTTTATTTAATAAGCCAATAATGCAATTATGCAGAATTTAGTGAGAAATGTTGTAGCTCCACATACAATTATGAACACAAACACTGTAGCTTACCTCACCATTAACTACTGTGACCCTTAAGTAGCTCTGATGGACAATTTCCAGTCTAAATTAGCCACCTCTACACTGAACATGTCTACAATGCCATTACTCATGCAGGTATTGTTAAGTCAGCCATTAACGACAGAAACTTCATGAAAGGTTGTTGGGGTRTGGACTGGAATACTAATTAAAAACTAAAACCGCAGCCCAAGCAGGGGTCAGGGACACACGAGTCACTTATGGCCAACTTGCACTTATAATTATTTATAATCAACTTCTTGAATGCAGTCACTGCATTATATTGAGCGCCGCATCTGACATGTCCGTGTACGCTTGCATCTGAATTAATTTGATTATGCAGAAGTTAGTGTATGTATTAAAAAAGCTGTTTCTGCATAAACAAATGTACTTATACGTATGGACATGTTCATTATCATCGTTTCTATCCAAGTCATCATTTTTAGGAACCAAAACTGTTTCAAGAGTCCCAAAGTTTTCATTTGGACACATCTTGTACATCTAAGTTTCCTTTAGAAGCCTGAAGATTTTAACAGTAAAGTATACCGGTAAAATTTATTTAATAAAACTGTTATTCAAACAAATATTTAAAGCMATGTTGGTTTGTAATTCTACTGTGCCAAACTGTATGACACATATCATTAAACACTTTTCATTACTGAACTCTGATACTGACATGACCATTACATGTTGTGATTGCTGATTTAGTATATACTGATGCGTTTTTGCTTTTGTCCTTCGAAAATAACCATATAAAGGTCATCAGCATATGTGAACAATAAGTCCAAACGTCACAGAGCATCACCCTCAGCTCCTGAGAATAATTCTGCCAGCATCTGCAGATAACAGGGCCTTCACAGGATCTACGCACATTTAATAGGGAGAGTTCAGTCCAGTGATTATACTGTGTCATTGCTGCAGAGCTGTGTTTGTGTGTGTGTGTCGGGGTGAACGAACAGCTGCTGA